TCCTCCTCATCCCACCTCCTCATCCCACCCCCTCTTCATCCACCTCCTCTTCATCCCACCTCCTCATCACTCCTCCTCTTCATCCCACCTCCTCATCACACCTCCTCTTCATCCCTTCTCCTCATCACTCCTCCTCTTCATCCCACCTCCTCATCACACCTCCTCTTCATCCCACCTCCTCATCACACCTCCTCTTCATCCCACCTCCTCATCAAATCCAGATCTTCAACATCACCACCAGTGACCCCACGGCTGCACTTCCCCCCTAAGATAAAATATCAGGATCAGGGTCTAATCGCCAAAGACTATTAACATTTCCATCAAATGGCGCATGCGTAAATAAATGTTCTTTAAACAAAAAATGAGTCTCTCCTGACTGAACTGTTGGCATTGTTCACATTTCAGTCTTTCAGCAGCATGGCTACGTCCACCACTTTGGTCCAGACTGAACAATCTCAAGAACTGTAGGAGGGTTAGCCATACAATTTGGCCACAAACGTTCCCTTTAGACTACATTGTAATGTTTACCAATCTTTTTATGACTTTTCCAAAATATCCTGATTTTAAATTGTCTATTAGTCTGGTTTATGACCGAAAATATTCAAGTTAAATCAGCCTGCAGCTTTGCGTTTTTATGTGCTAATTTGCTAATGTTAGCATGCTTACATATGCTAAACTAAGATGGTGAACATGCTAAACATTCTACCTGCCTGTTGCCATGCTTTTGCTAGCATTTTGCTAACATGTAGTGGAAAAGGAACTTAGATGTTAAGCTTTAGTAAATGAGGCAATGCTGTATTGTTAAAATGTTCATAATGGCCAATTTTTAAATTATTAATGTTACATTTCTGGATTATTGATGCATTCATCTATCAGTCACAACTGGTTCCCCTTTTTTTCGTGTTACACAGAACGATTTTAAAAGCAATGTATTTCTATTGGTAGTATGTTTCGTGCCTGCAGCACGTCTTTTTGTCCGTTAGGGTCTTGGAACACCGGAAGCTGTGGGGTTCATAAAACATGTTCTTACTCAATATCAAGCCACGATTATTGTTTTTATTTTAAATCATAATAATAATGTCGGACTTTTTTTGTCATCTGTGAGGAAAAGAGATGGGGCTCAGAGCCTCAAAATACTGAAGTCTGTATTTTTTAAAATCTTTTTTTCCTTCTAATTTGTTATTCTTTTCTAAATAACACACTGTTATTTACTCACCAATAACACACAATCATCCTTGTTTTTATTTATTTGTTTAATTCCATAACCTCGGGCTTTTTTGGCGTCCGTCAGGAACTGAATTTCAAAATAAAAATAACCGATAACAGATGCAGGCCTATAAAGGGACATTTCGAGCATCATTGCGATACACACATGGATGTATAATATAACTAAGGCCCAATCCCAAACCACTCCCTCGACCCTACCCCTCCGTGACGGAGTGAACTCCGTCTGTAGCCACACTCGCAACTCAACGAGGCTCCCTCCTGTCAGATGGAGGGAGTAAATACAGCAGCAAGCTTTGGGACGACCTCCCCTCTCTCCGGCACAAACAGAAAATGCCGTAACTGTATGTAACAACGGTTTCAAATCAGCATCTCTTTGACAAAAAATGTAAATTAATAACTCAAATGAAACTCCAAACATCTTTAATTGTGTTTTTTGTAAAGCTCTTTTAGTTTTACACCTGATGTTTATAAGCTTCTTTGTTTTTGCAACAGTCTGTAATACACAACTTTATAATAAAATGCACACATTTACCTTTTTCTAGACTAAACACAGGTATGATCCTAAGTTAAAACATATGAGGTTATCATGAGGTTGTTAACATCGCAATTTATCAGTGGATGTTTGCTGGAACTACTTGTAAACAGCTTGTTTCCTGACGGACACACACAGCGTTGAGACGGGTCAGGTAGAGACCAGGGCTGCTTCTCAGGTCGACTATTTTCATTTCCTCGCTCCTCGGTCCTCGGTCTCACCGGAAGTTGATTTGCCTGCGCCATCTACCGTCCCATGGCTCTTATTTCTGCCGGAAGACCGAGGATCGAGGAGCGAGGAGCGATCATGGAGGAGCGATAACCGAGGAACCACCAGACCATCCTCCGATGAAATCCTCAGATACTCGCCCCGCCCCCTTACTGTGTATCGCTCACTGATTGGACGATGCAGTGCATGCACTGATCTCATGCTTCTTGACATGAGAGCCGTTTCCCAGCGGAGTGAAGAAAACACATGAACCTCACGGGACTCACTCCTCAGTTTATACCGTGTTTTGTTTCAATTCCTGTTTCATTTAGTTACAAATATGTGATATATCTGAACAACAAAGTGGGCAAAAATCATTTTATTCATTTGTTGGAAACATTTTCATGATCGCTTTTTTCGTTTTACATTTTCATTTATTGTCATTTCCATTCAGTCAGTCATTAAGTGCTATTACAATGTTAATGTGCTACATATCCAACAACAAACAAACAAACAACAAAGTGTGCAATCCAATCAACGTTAATCTAACTGGGTTTTGATAGATAACATATCTCTTTTTCTTCTCTCAATTATTGTATTTCTTTTGTGCACTCTAATCAATATTAATCAAACTATTGTTCGTTTATACATTTTAAGAATGGCGTTTATCTTTTTTGAGAACGAGTTCTTATTTTATTTTATTTATTGGGATCTACAACAGATGATACAAATGTTTGTGTCAGTAAATGTGTGCTAACAGAGGCGGGGGTGTGTGTGGAAATAACGGGGACAGAGCTGTCTGCTGTCAGACGATCAGCTGTGCAGCGTCATCACAAACGGACGTCGCTTCACGTGACGCTCCGGAGGAAAGGACGTCCCATTGCTCGTAAAACTCATTTCCCTGCTTCTCGTGGTTTCCTTGCGTCCCTCCATGCTTCCCTGGTGGGAGGGACTAAACGCAGGGAAACGACGCAAGTGAGGGAAGCAAGGATTTCATTTAATCGACCTGAGAAGCAGCCCAAATAGTCCATTTAGCTTAGGAACCTTCCTAACCAAGTGAAATGACCCGGAAGTACTGAAATGATCAAATAAAGTCAACATCTCACAGTCTTTACTGAGCTGTGTGGGGTTTGTTCAACTTTTAAAAGATGTTTGAATGGTGATATACACACAGTGATAGATGTTAAGGACTAACGTTTATAATAAATACATTTGTATTGATTTTAAGATATTTTCATAGTTCATACAATCATACGTATTGGGATCATTTGTATTAATGTGGACCGGAGGGAGAGGGTGATGAGCATAAGTTTCACTTTAATTTTTAATTTCAATTCCAACTTTGGTCATGAAGAATATGTTTCTCTGTTGTCCACGTTCATAAAGCATAAAGCAACAGCTTCAGAGCACGGTGCAGAGTCTCTAGATGAGTTTACAGTAGTCCCTCGTTCTTATTAAACATCCATGTTGTAGTCCACTGTATAGAAAACTGTAGTTTCCATAGTTTCCCCACAGCAGCAGACGCACCTTCATGACGTCCGCTGGAGCATCATAAACACGTCGGATAGTGAAAGTGCATTCGGATTCTCTAAAGTACCGCAGTCTCTTCTCCTAAGTCCTTTTGAATTCTCCTATCCACTATCCCTTAACCCCGTGACGTTTCACTCAGAGGTCAAGGAATAGGAGATAGGGTTAGAATTTAGGATCTCCTAAGTTGTGGGGAAACTATGGAAACTACAGTTTTCTATACAGCGGACTACAACATGGATGTTTAATAAGAACGAGGGACTACTGTAAACTCATCTAGAGACTCTGCACCGTGCTCTGATGCTGTTGCTTTATGCTTTATGAACGTGGACAACAGAGAAACATATTCTTCATGACCAAAGTTGGAATTGAAATAAAAAAGGAAAGTGAAACTTATGCTCGTCACCCTCTCCCTCCGGTCCACATTAATACAAATGATCCCAATACGTATTGTAACGATCACAAAGGGAGTCGTAAACAGGCTGCTAGTTATTAGGCTTTAATAACTCTTCTTCTTTACAGATGATCACAGGTTCAGGAACAGCTTGTGGGTTCAACCTCACACTCACACTAACTTCTACACATACCCATATATATAACAGTGTCTACGTCACAACTTCCCGCCCTCCCCCGTCTGCTCCCCCAACCACAGGCCCGCACCTCAACCAGCATCACTGTGCAGCTCTATGATTGGCAGAGAGACGGGGGATGCCTGAGTGACACCCTCAGCATCCTATACAGGGTCGCTACACTACCCCCCAACTACAAAGTTCCTCGCCCACGAGGAACAAATAAAACTCAGCACAAACACTACCCCCACCCTCTCCAGTACTCTGCAGGGACCAACCCACTGACTGTCCAGTTTTGGGCACCGGCCTTTCTTCCGTTGTGGGCTGTAGACCCAGACCAGCTCCTCGGCCCGGAAATGCTGCCCTCTTGTCCTGGTGTCATAGTTCCGCTTCTGTCCACCTCGTCCAGTCTCAGCTCCATCTCCTTCAGTTCGCCTCCGAGTCTGAACCTCACAGAGTCCAGGGTCTGCTCCACCTCTGCCTTCATCGAGGCCTCTCTGTGTTGGGCGTTCTGCTCCATGATACTCCTCTCCGCTATAGCTACGCTTGCCTGCTTCTGGGACTCATCCAGCTGAGGTTTACAGGTATCCAACTCTGCTTCTGTCCTTTTCAGGTCTTCTAGAGTTTTCAAAGTCTCCAGTTGGGATTGTCCTAGCTTATTCTGGAGCTCGTTGTAACCTTGCTGCAGCGCCTTAGCGTCTCTACCCATCTCTCTGATCCTCTCCTTGTACTTGATGCAGTCCCTCTGCAGCTGCTTCTCCCTCAGCAGCTCCTCCTGCTTACCAGACTCTGCTTCTGCTTCTGCTCTCTCTCTCTGTGCTTGCCTCATGTCCTCCTCCAGCCTGGCGGCCCGGTCGCTCTCGCTCTGCGCCTCAGCCCGCTCCCTCGCCAACCGCTCCACCTCCCGCTGCAGCTCGGCCAAGTGCTCCCGGTTGTCCGCCGCCTCCTGCTGGTAGTCTGCGATGCTGCCATTGAGCTGGGACAGCTGGTTCGTCAGACGCTCCTCCAGGTTGTCCTTCTCGGCTTCCAGGCTCCTGAGCAGCTCTTTGAACTGCGCCTCCCTCTTGGCACCCTTCTCCACCAGGCTCCTTTCTCTCTCTTTGCCCTCTTGGAGGCACTTCTCCAGAGAGGCCACAAGGCTCTCCTTCTCTTTACTCTCCTGGAGATCTCGCTCAAGAGAGGCCAGCTCCGCTTTGAGTCTAGCCTCCTGTTGCTGCCGCAGTTCCCTCTCTGCATTGACAGCTGCTTCCATCTCCCTCATTTTCTCCTCTAATAAAACTTGAACACTTTCAGTCATTTCGGTAACCCATACAGGCTTCTCCTCCTCTCTGCAGCTCCTCACAGCCGGTGGTACCGGCCCTCCGTTGCTCCTCGCCGCTACACTCCACACAATCTCTCTCTCCACAGCCATCTCCAAGGCTGCCTGCAAGGACTGTGGATGCTGCAGCTGTACCCCAACCCTCAAGTACGCAGGGAGGAGAGCCCTGATGAATTGATCACGTGCCAGCTCACTCTGCACTCCAGGTGGCATGTGTGCATATGCCCGCGGCGTCAAGCTCTCCACGTCGTTAGCCAACGCACGCAGCGTCTCTCCAGACTTCCTACAGCGGTTACTCAACTCGTTCCGGAGCAGCTCTGGTGGGAAACACTGTCCAAACCGCCTCTTCAAAGCCCCCGCTAACGCTTCATAGCTGTGTCGGTCCTCAATGCTAAGTAGTAGCAGACATGAAAGAGCCTCGTCTGTGAGGCACAAAGCTAGCTGTAGTGCTTTAGTCTCTATTGACCACCCCCTGGCATGTGCAAGTAGTTCAAATTGGGCCTGGAAAGCCTCCCAGTCTGCCTTACCCGAGTATTTGGGTGTTTTCACGGACGCGGCGGCTGCTACTGGTTGATGGGCGCCGCCATTGTTGTTTACATCCAGCTTGGAAATGGCGCGAAATGCCACTGAAGACGGCGACATTCCCGCGTCTCTAGCCATCTTCACCGCCGACTCTCTCAGGCGCTCTCTCGCCTCCCGTGCACTCCTGAACTCCCCACTCATGTCCTTCGACCACCCGCATGCTCCATCTTCCTCTCCATCACTACTTTCCTGCTTCACTCCCATCTTGCTGAACTTTTCCATCTCCGCTAGCTTACCGGCTAGCTCCGTGACGCAGTTACGAACTCCCATCCGGATAGACGTCCTCCGTTCGAAAAGTCACTTCTGACACCAATGTAACGATCACAAAGGGAGTCGGAAACAGGCTGCTAGTTATTAGGCTTTAATAACTCTTCTTCTTTACAGATGATCACAGGTTCAGGAACAGCTTGTGGGTTCAACCTCACACTCACACTAACTTCTACACATACCCATATATATAACAGTGTCTACGTCACAACTTCCCGCCCTCCCCCGTCTGCTCCCCCAACCACAGGCCCGCACCTCAACCAGCATCACTGTGCAGCTCTATGATTGGCAGAGAGACGGGGGATGCCTGAGTGACACCCTCAGCATCCTATACAGGGTCGCTACAGTATGATTGTATGAACTATTAAAAGATCTTAAAATAAATACAAATGTATTTATTATAAACGTTAGTCCTTAACATCTATCACTGTGTAGGCTATATCACCATTCAAACATCTTTTAAAAGTTGAACAACCCCACACAGCTCAGTGAAATGTTGACTTTATTTGATCATTTCAGTAAAAACTAACGTTCATATTTCTCTTTTTGATTATAATACTGATGAACGTTCAAAACAAAGCACTTTGGCAACTTACCACATACGTTTAAAATGCGTAATAAGCACCGTAACTTTTATGATATAATTTCTCCCATAATCGTTTGTGTCCGTGAACGGCCGACTGTTGAGTGACGGCAAATGCTGCGGCTGCAATGCATTGTGGGGCAGCATTTTCTCCTCTCCTTTCGGTTAGGGAGGTCCAGTGGTTCCTAAGCTAAAGGAGGTTATAAAGGAAGTTTGAAACCTCCTTTCCTTTCATTTGGAGAATTGGAACGGCACTTATCATGGCTGCCAGTGACGTACTTCCGGGTCATTTCACTCCGTTAGGAAGGTTCCTAAGCTAAATGGACTATTGGAATGCAACCCGGTTGTCACTACCCGATCTGCAGTGCGCATGTGCGAGATGGTCCGCCATATTGGATAACTCCGGACGGCAACCCAAGTAGGACAACATTGACACAGTGGCTTTTGGCAAAGCTCAAAAGGAAAACTCGAGAGAGATGAGTTATTGTTATTACAACGTGACTTCACTATTATTTAACAACTATTTTTATTGGGTTCTTTTATTTGGGGTTAAGTACATTGTCAGAATAAGTGAGGAATGCATTTAACTTCTGTTAGACAGCTATATGCCATACATTTTTGCATACATTCACAGTAAATATGTATTCAGTATTTACATATTTACTGTGAATGTATGCAAAAATGTATGGCATATGGCTGTCTAACAGAACTTAAATCCATTCCTCACTTATTCTGACAATGTACTTAACCCCAAATAAAAGAACCCAATAAAAAGCGTTATTAAATAATAGTGAAGTCACGTTGTAATAACAATAACTCATCTCTCTCGAGTTTTATTTTTGAGCTTTGTCAAAAGCCACTGTGTCAATGTTGGCCTACTTGGGTTGCCGTCCGGAGTTGTCCAATATGGCGGACCATCTCGCACATGCGCACTGCAGATCGGGCAGAGCTGCAGATCGGGTAGTGACACCGGTCTCCAGTCAGCACCGATGCAGACTCGCTGTTTGAGGGCTTGATAGCCCACTCCCCCTCCATACCGCTCCACACTCGTTGCTTTGGAACAGCCCTTAATATGGCGGACACTCTGCGTGAACGCGCAAAAGGAGGGGTAGTGTGTAGGGGTAGGGTGTAGGGGGCGGTTTGGGAATGGGCCTAAGAACTGGATACAGCGTGGGAGGCGGAGCCTCATTCATTCCTGAGAGCTGCTCATTGGCGCATGAAGATAAAATGGGCCAACTTTTGAGAGAGCGAAACGTCACAGATTACCCGTCATGCCTGATAAGTACCCGTATGTGCGCTCATAGAGCATGCGCAACTTTAACCACGCCCCCCAAAATGCTTGTTCACATTAATCACGTCAATTTGCGTACACGTAATTTGTACGATTTTTTCAACGCTGCTGTGTGGACGGGCCGTACAGCACCGCGCGTTCAGGTATGCATGGTACTGGATTGTTATGATGGATTTGATATTAACGAGGCGGCCGCGGCAGTTAGCAGCTAGCGGCTAGCTAGTAATTAATGCTAAGTTACACATCAATCGTTATGTACTTTTATATTATGCTGATAACAGGATCTAGTGATAGCCAAGCAACAGAGCTTAATTTAGCATGATACTTGTGTGGGTTGTACATGAAACCACTTGGTAATATATAAAAATGTATGTATTTTAAGCCTGTTATGATCAATTGTGAGTTCAATCGTATCTAAAAAGTAAAGCTGATGATGGATTACTGTGGTGGAGTTAAAATAACAATAGCCTATTTCTCTTTGAAATGTGATGGAGTAAAAGGATAGTAACTGTGACTATCCATGTTAAGTACCCCACAAGTAACAAAAACGTATAATACTTGAAGGAAAGGTGTAAAATGTTTCCATAAATACCAATATCACACACTACAACACAAACTATAACACCCCTTTTTGTTAAATACCAACCATGTGTATATATATATATTTTATTTATATGTATATGCCGCTAAAACTATATATATATATATATATATAAATATACCAGGCTGCTAAATCCTCCAAACTGTTACAGTCAGAACACGTAACATGAACGTGCCGGGCAGCGCGGTCCCGTGGGTTAGATGCGCGTTCATAATGGCGAGGAAAATAACTCTCAGAATAACGTTATTAGCACATTTTTACAACTTGAGGAACGAATTTTTTTAATAAGGGCTATACAAACGTTCATACTGGGTAGTTTATTTAGTTTAAAAAAAATTATCCAACGATTTACCGACCACTCTTTCCCAATGTAAGTCAATGGGAAAAAGTGTTTCCGGGCCCAGCAACCTAACGGAAGTGTAGTACCGCCGTTTGGCCACAACGAATATTCTCATCAGAGTCCGGCGCACTTCCTGGGGGCTTGGATACACATACACAGCCATTGAACTGATTACCCAAGATCCTCAGCTATGGTTTAAGCTCGCTGATTGGATGTTTTAGCCGCAATGCATGTAGGGATATGGTGTTAATGCAATATGAAATCCGAAAAACATTTCTGAGTTTAGGATGGCCGAAGACACTACACTACCCATAATCCCCAGCTATCGTTTAGGACTACTGTCCCCGTGATTAATCTTCAAGCTCTGGGATTGGATGTTGGAGTGGCAGTGCCCCAAGGTTACGCCGAGCGTCAAACAGCTGTTTGAAATGGAAGGAAACCACGCCAGACTATCCAAAACTGGAATCGAACGCCCCCCCCAGAACATGCTGGCTATTGTGTTTCGCAAAATGTTTTATGGGACGTCTCTACTGAACGTTTTCGTTTTTCCCACAATTAGAAGTTGCCAGAATTAAACACATTGGTGTTATCAAATGTAAAACATATAATTAATAGATGGGTGAAAATCGCTTGTGTCCATAATGCGCAGCATTAATATATACCCACATGACAGCTCATTGTTACTTTGTAATTCTACTCCACTACAATTCAGAGGTTAACCTGGTATTTTTACTCCACTACATTTATTTTAGTTACTTTGCAGATTCTGATTAATGATGTGAAATATAAACAACCCTTAAATCAGACTTTAGTTACACCTGAGTAAAATTCAGGGAAGGTGATTGTCAAGTGCCAACAATCAGGAGAGATATTTGATAGTTGGTGCTTGAGAAGACTAAACATTTATCTGCAATTGACATGAATGGAAACGAGTAATAAAGTATATTCATTACTCGTTATTCTCTACTAATAGTTAATTAAAGACTGTATATTATGGCTATTTTGCACATCCCTTTCAAGATTTCAAGATTTTCTAAGGTTTATTGACATATATACACAACTATGGTGTAGTTATGCAATGAATGAAAAACTTGGGTCGCAGCTGAGGTTCCTCAACAGTGCATTACAAGACATCTATCAATATGTCTATTAAACTGTCATATTCTGCACATTTCTTATACTATCTACATACATAAAAGTATAATTCATATGTATAATATCAGTTAAAATAAGTGCTTCAACATTGTTAACATTGCAGGAAAGCAATATATTAGACGTTAAGTACTTTGTCAGGCCTAATATTTATCTTTTGATACCCCAAAGCTTTTTTCTTATTTAAAAGAAGACCTTAACCTAAAGTATTATTTAATGTTTAAATAAAGGTTCATTCGTTTTTCTGTTTTGCACCTCCTCCTATTAATATCTGTGTACATCCTGCACTAAACTGTTTTATTGTAGAGATCACTTATAGTATCTTCTTGATTTTTTATATTCTATATTTCTATCATTGACCTTCTACTTTCCTCCTATGAAAGTATTTTTTTCATCAAATATAACACATACAAATAATAATTCAATAACATGCTTTAACCACTAGGCGGTGTACACAAGGTACACACAGCCATAATAACTTTGTATTATTAGTGTAGGACACTTATGTATGTACAACATCTGAAGATGTGTAGTTTTATTCATGTTTTCACATAATTTTACAGCATATTGCTATACTATTTCAGACTCAGTATTTACATTCTTACATTCAAAGAAAATCAGCAATATCTTTAAAAACTACAAGTCCTTTTATATCAGCTGTGCACCGTTATGGTGTAAATATAACCTATCTACGAATTAGATCAAATGTAAAAGTCAGCCGAATTAGTGTTGATACTGCAAGGAGACGTATTGTGTGAAAATAAATTGAAGATGTTGTTTAATTGCTGATATATTTATGATCCACGTCAGGTATTCAGTTTCGGCGGGATTTCTTCCAGTTTTTCCAAAGGTCTTCTCATCAGGGCTCTATAAATAAAGAACTACGACAGATCTGTAATATGTAATGCAGCCGAACCGTGTATTACAATGCCGTTATGATGACTTTCAAAGAGAAAAGCAAGAACACTCGGAATAAAGTATTATTTTCTTTTTTTTTAAAGTTTTTCGGGTTTCATATCGCATTAACACCATATCCCTATATGCATTGCGGCTAAAACATCCAATCAGCGAGCTTAAACCATAGCTGAGGATCTTGGGTAATCAGTTCCGTGCGTGTTTCCGGTTATTTTTATTTTGAAATTCAGTTCCTGACGGACGCCAAAAAAGCCCGAAATTATGGAATTAAA